CTTGATTTATGCATATAAATAGCTTTATTATGATTCATGCAGGGAGTTTTACAGATTATATGGACACTGCAATGTAGGTATACAGGAACGGAAAAAAAGGAAAAAAGGAGAAAAGATGAAAGAAAGAGGAGATAAAAGGGAGATAAATCATCTTTAGTCTGCTTCATCACCTGCAAGGAGACGTAAAAAAAAGGACAGCATAACCAACGCATAATAAGCACCTTGATACTATCACTGAAGTATAGGTAGTATTATTTAATTTGACATGTTTAGTGTGGTAGCTGAAGATAAGAATATGGGCTGTCTGTGTGGAAGTGAATCTCTAAGTACCTGGAACCAAGCACCTGTAGTTGTTTGTGAGAGTGCACCTGTGCATGTAAAGTTTATCCAAAGGAAAAATGCTCAATAGTGGTTGTGAAGAACCAAAGACCCACCCCCACTCAGAGCAGCAAGGCGAGCACCGAGGGACAACTAAGTTCTCTGGGCCAACTCCCAGGGTTTGACCACCACAGTTCAATGATAAACTGGATGTGTTCAGAGGAAGTAAAAACCTGCTGTACTTTCACGGAGAAATGGATCAGAACATCTCCAGATAGGTGAATGGCAGCAGAGAGCGGTTCAGCCCAGAAACTAAGAGGATAGAGGTTCAGAGTTCCTATGACGGCTTGTCAGGAACTCCAGGCTTCACCCATCAGCACCTGGCAGGCAGCAAAAACAATACGAAGCAGAACTGATGTGCCGTCTGAGCCTTTTTGGGCGTTGTGCTCTCTCTCTCTCTCTGATAGGTGTGGCCTGGGAGGAGCTGGCTGCACACAGCTGAGACTGATCTTCATGTGGAGCAGTATTTAAAGTCCGGCTTCCTCTGTTCTCACTTTCTGATGGTCACCATTAGTTGGTAGATTTGACAACTTCTCTCCCTTGTAGAAATTATTTCTTCAGCTTTTGAAATTGAAAATATTAATCTTACCTGTGCTCTGTCTACCCAGAATCCAGCTCCAAATCAGTGTCCATCTACCAAGCTACACCACCCACCTCCCTCTTCTCCAGCTGCTGCAGAGAGCTTGCCTCCCACATCAAACTGCCCCTGCTTCCAGAGAGGCCTTCCTTCCTTGTCTGCCTGTTAATCCAAAAATAAACTTTGCTCCTTTCTCCTAGCCTGGCCGGCTGTATTCTGGGTGCAGCACCCAGCTCTTCACAGCTGAGCAGGGAAGGCTGGTAGGATAACAGGACTCTTTAGAAGAAGACTTGATGTGTTTCTGCCAGTGCAGCTTTAACTGAGATCACATGCTTTAATAAACACTATTGGCATTCATCTATCCATGGATAGGGTGGCTGCCTTTCTCCAGCCGGCACTGGGTGAGGCTGCGGACGGATCACCAGTCTACCATAGGACTGCCTGCATTCAACTGTGAACTTCTGATGGACAGAAGTAATGAAGCTTTCATCTCCTCCTGGAAACAGCTTCTGAAAGTGAGTGAAAAACTCAGTGTGCTTCCAGAGAGAAATGAGAAGGAAGTGGTGCTGCACCTGTAGAGATCATGTTGAATAATGTCGCCTACATGCAGAAAATGGGGGGACTAAAATAACATGCAGTGCTGTCTCTGAGTGCTACTAGATTTCTGCCACTTGTCAGAACAGCTTTTTTTTTTTGTTTTCAAGTGTTAAAGAACAGTTGTGCAGCCGGACTAATGTACAGTAAATGTGATAGGTAGGTTGAATTGTTGAGTTATGCAAGGCTTTGAGCTCTGTATAATGGTGCGCTACTCAGGAATGTTGTGTAACAGAGTTGTCCTCCCCGCTTTTCAGTGTGGGCCCGCGAATACTCTCACTGTTGCTGGTCCATTTGCATCCATGCACTTTAACCTCGCCTGACAGTACTGCTGTGATTAATTCACCTCTTCATACAGTGTAAGAGGCTTTTTTTCTTTTTTTGGTCATATTAAGTGTGCCATTTTTCAGCAATCCTGGTTTGAATCTTTGCTAACAGGGAACTGAGTGCTTCTCTCTTATTGTCCAATAAAAAGAATCAGACCCTTACTTTCTGCATATTACTATTCTGGAAAAAGAAATAAAATCAAGCAATGAAAATTATGTGCATGTTCGTATCATAGGTATTGTGGCCAAGGAGTGTAAACACTCTTTAACAACACAAACTAGCTGCAAATAAGCAAATGAGACAAAAATGCAAACACAATAAAGAAAAAGAGAAAGGCTGAAATCACAGAAAATAAAGAGAAAGGACAAAAAACAAACACAAAGCAAACCCATGAATAATGGGAACATGCTAAAAAAACACACAAGAGAAATGCTGCAAGAAGCAAAAGTAAAAAAAAAAAAAAAAAAGCTGCAAGCTACCTCTTAAAGGTAGAAGTGCTCCAGAACACTAGGGGGAGATGGATATATTTTGATATTCTTTACCATTCATTACTATCAGGAAGTCCACAAACTGTAGTTAAAAGCCTTCAGCTGATCCAAAATGCTGCAACCAGAGTTCTGATGAAAATGAAAAAGAGAGATCATATCTCTCCTATCCTGGCTTCTTTTCATTGGCTTCCTGTTAAATCCAGAATAGAACTTAAAATCCTCCTTCTCACATATAAAGCCTTAAATG